CGATTTTCACGAGTAGGGCTGTGTTTACTACAGTTTCTACCATATTTACCAGGAGGATTATCGCAGTGTCATGTCCAAATTTCAATACCTTGACCACACGTGACACTGCAGGGAGACCAACTTATCCACTTGGGCATAGTTTCCGTCAAGAAAAAATATGAATAATTTATCGACGATTGTAGTGTGTCGTGGAAAACAAACCAATAAAAGGACGAAAAATAATGTGCGTAAATTATGTGCCTATGCAGAGTCTAAGCATCGCTGTACATTTCACTACATGATAACTTAAGCCCCGTTTACACTACAGTCAATTTATCGGCACGGCACGGCTAAAATGGGTACCCGTGCCCAATTTCACTAATGGTCAGGCTACCAAAACAAAGCCCGGGTGCCCATTTTAGCCGTGCCGTGCCAATAAATCGAGTGTAGTGTAAACGGGGCTTTACATGGCGTGTTTGGATAAGAAAATATTCACTCTAATGAACTATACAAAATTTTTTACTCAATTTTTGCACGTTATCTATTCAACCCTTCATAATGGCTACTTTAGGCTGGTGTCTGACTCTTACATGGGCATCGCGTTTTGCTACACATCTTTAGTGCTGTAAAGTTTCCAAGGTCGCTGCAGTTACGACCAGCGTATTTTGGTTCTGGATTAACACACCAGGAGCGGTGCTAAGGCTAGTCAATGCGATCGCGCGACCAACATAAATATTTCGTCAGTAATATAAGTGGAAATATATCTTAGAACACGGTCAAGTTTTAAAATCGTGCAGTTGCATAATAGTTAATTACCTATTTCAAAATAATTAATTTAAAATACATTAACACGAACTGCATGGCGCATGCGAATTGTTCGTTTGAATTCAAATTTAAACTTGCCCTATTAGTTCGTTTGAATTCAAATTTAAACTTGTCTATTTGATTATTCGTTTATTTATTTACGACGTAATGATCGTTTGGGGGTTTTGGTTTGCTCGTTCTGGAGGTGTGATGATCGTTCTGCAGGTTGTTTGGGGACGTTTTAGCATCAATCTGATTGGTACGGAATCGTAGTTTCTATGGAGACAAAAATTCTGATTATTTTAGAGGTGTGGTGATCGTTTTGGAGGTTGGTTGGAGGCAATAAACTCAAATAAGACTGGAACGCTAGCTCCCTGACTTTCCCTCATTAATAAGTGAAACCAAGATGGTGGATCATGAAGCCTTTTTGTAGAAATTTCAAAGGTAAAATCATAAATGCCGTCATTTACCTACGAAATTTCAGCGCGGAGGCCTGGAACATGCCTACAAGAGTCAAATCGCCCCGTCAAATCGAATTTCGAGCCTATTCATATTCTCATTTGTTGTATTGTTTATTCGTGTTACCCAGATTTTTCTTGCTAGTATTGTATAGATTGTGAGCTAGTGTAAAAATCTGTAATTTATGTTGAATAAAATTCGGGCCTACCTGCCATTTAGCCAGCGCCTACAATATTACAATGCAATTATCTGGCCAGTTATGAGTTATGTGAGCGTTATCTGGGGCACATATGTAATAAGAATAGAACAGAATTTTAAAACTTCAGAAACGTGCAGCAATAGTCAGGGACCTGTATATGAGTTTGTATGCATTTTATTTAGGACAGGTAAACTCGACAGTTTTAGGGTAGGTTGGCCATGGCGGTCAACATGTTAACCCTGCCCGAACCATAATGCAGGGCGAAACATCCGAGACTGACCACACCCAAAAACGGCACATTCCCTATAGTGCTATACAGTACTGTCCAAAAATAACCTAACACTGCGGTTGCGGTTACGTTCACCGATAGAAATCGCAGACGATCGCAAGGAAAAAAATACCTTCGCAATAGAACCCCAACTTTGACCAAATGCGCGCCATTGTGTCATGCCGTGTCGGTTGTTAACAATTGACAATTCCGCATTGTTATTCTTTCATTGAAGGCCTTTTAATTTCAGAATTAACAAATATCACCTTTATAACGGGTTTGAGATTAAAAACATGCATAAAATATGAATGAATATGAATAAAAACGCTTTGGTGCTATCCAGTATATACAGTAATAGTAAGTTTCAGGATGTAACTCTATTAATACATTGGTTTTTAGTCTTTGTTTAATTACAGTTATTAGGCCTTTGTTTTTGCATGCAGCTCTTTTTGCATGTCTTTATCACGTTCGTCGCGTGAGATCTGTACGGATTGTTTTGAAAGACTCATGTGCAAATTTTACGGAGTGGTAATTGGTAAAATGCTGTATTTTTCATATTTTATTTATGTTTTTAATTTCAAGTCCTTTATAAAGATAATATGACTCATATTGGTTATCGCTGAAAAGACGTTGAATGAAAAAATAACAATGCGGAATTATTGACAACCGACACGGGATGACACAATGGCCCCGTATTTCGGGTCAAAGTTTGGGTTTTTAATTACGTTCTGGATGGTTAAAATCTACTTGAAAACTTCTAAAAATGTACATGACATATTATTACGTCTCGACCGACTTTCATATTCGGAAGGATTCAAACGATTTTCGCTATACTGGGGGGAGTGAACATGCGAATTTGGCGAAATGCGTCCATTTGCAGGAAGTAAGTAAATTTCAAATTAATATTTCAGTCACAAAATATTAACATTTTTACACCAAATAGTGATAATATAATTATTTAAAAAGGTACGAATTATGTTTATATAGAAAAGATTTAAGGGAAAAGGCAGTGTAGACCGACAACTGTTTATTTGAAGTTATAACCCAAAATTTGAAACTTGTGCATCATTATTGCATGCATGGTCATTTTCTTGTAAAGTATTAGTGCAGGAATTTTATACTTACCAGTGACCACCACAAAAAGCACCATCTCTGAACCATATATAAGCAGCTCAGATTAATCAAAGCTTATTTGGTTTTGCAGATAGCACGATAGTGAATGTGCGTTTTTGGGTGTGGTCAGTTTCGGATGTTTCGCCCTGCATTATGGTTCAGGCAGCGTTACCAGCGTTACTTATGTGTTAGATTTTTCTGAATCAAGTCAGAGCGTGTATATGATAGGGCGGTGAGACGGCGATATATCCCCTAATTTATGTGTGATGCATGCCCCCTTCGCTTATTTTACTAATTTTAGTACATGCGAGTTAATATGGAGTTTCAAGCAACGTTCGATTATTAGCTACTTTGCAATAATATACAAAGCCAAAGGTTTCGCGACTTCCTGTCCTGTCCGGCATTTAATTAAAAATGTCAGCCAAAAAGGTTAAAAAATTTACGAAACAACATTTTTACTACTGAGAGATAATTTTTACATTAATGAGTGAGCTATTTGTCCGTGCATTAGCTAAGCTGTGAAGACAGTACAATATATTGATATCAGACATATTATTCGACCAGCCGAAGGAATCATTCCATTATAACAAGGCAGCCATCTTTGATTGCGAAATCCTGGCGTATTGGTAATCAATCCGGAGACGGTTCCTGTCATATAACTCAGTGATCTCTGTACTTCTCACGGACAGAACGATAGTTTGCAGTCACGGGTCGCGCGAGATGTAGGTGGTGCGCTGATATTTCGAACTCGACAGAATAGAATAAGCAATAAATGCGTACACAGTCAGTTAATAAATGATGACTTTAATATCGAAATGATTGGTTGTCCATGCAAATTGATATCAGATCGGCGTGGTAGCAAAGGTTGTATGGTGGGTTATCACAGTTGGTAGATAGGCAGCAGAAATGTAGATACGTAGTAGATAATAGTACATAACAGGTTCGAACTAGAGAACACGAAAAAACAATAGCTATACTAAATACAGTATTGCGTGATCACATGTACATACAGCACGAAACTTTAACCATTTCATGAAAAATAACCTGCATGCAAGGCAACTTGAACAGTGTTCGAAGTGTTCCATAAGGGAGGGCACATTGTTTTACACATGTTGTATTACGCACACTGCGCATGCACTTTTCCGCGTGTAAGCACAGGTAAAACTAAATTTCTGTAGGAATGTTTGGTAGTAGCTGATCAATCCAGCCTGAATCAGACCTTGAATCAGAGCTTGAACCAGGACTCCGAATTGGATCCGTATCAGGATTTGAGTATTCATCAGTGTTTTCATCATCTTCATCTGAACTGGAGGAATCCGAAGACGAACAGGAGGAATCCGAGGATGAACGGGAATCTGCCATGCCACGACAATTAACATTCCCGAGAATTTCAGTGACTGCATTTTGATAGGTCTGTCCTGTCAGCATCTGGAGTCTCCCCGCTAAGACATGTGCTACTTCAACTGGGGTCTGTGTGTTGACATAACTGGCTAAAGTTCTTATCACTGACTGTTCATCAGTTTGGTCAAAAGCATGCATCCAACCGAAGTCAAAACAGTCATCTATGCTCCTTCCATTCCTGCTGGCAATCTCACGGATTAATTTTGTAAGTTCAGCCATGTTTACTGAATCTAGGTGTGTTGGAGAGGAAAGTATGAGATAAAAAGTAAATAAAACGAGATCTTTTCACTTAGAAAATTACAAAGTGTCTCTAATATCTTGCCTAATCTTATAAACAATACTAGTCAACTAACCTCGTGAGAATACTAGTCAACTAACCTAGTCAAGGAACGTTGTCAGTTTGGTCCATCTTACTACCCTAAAAAATCCTACCCTAGCGAGAGGCGATGTCTTGTAACCCTTCTGCCGTTGGTAAGATATATATACAGGAGGCTTAAAACAGTTGGCAGAATTAACTGCCTTTTTGTTGACTGGGGAAAAGGCTAACAGTGCTGACAAAACTATACGACAGACTGATGTCTTTGAAAAAAAACCACTTAAATTTTCAAGTAGCGTTCTTGGTTTGGTCTATAAAGTTGTAATGATTGTATTCCTTTGATCATTATCATAACTAAACATTTAATATGTTTTACTCGTTGCTATCCGGTTATAAGAGGTATATCCGTGGCTAAAATGCCGTTTTCAACCACGGAAAACAACCATGGATTGCGCATGTCCATGCTCTCGGCATTGCGTCATATTTCGGCTCAAGTAGAACAACATGGCGACGACGGTGGGTATTTCTGGTTGTTTTATGTCTAGTTCATTTGAATAAATTTGCATAAGCAGATAAGGCAAGGAGGGAAAATGAAAAACATATTGTATAATCGATTATACTGTCGCCAAATCGTTAATGTAACTCGACTAGGCTTTGTATTTAACTAAAAAGCGTTTGAATTTATGCTGTTTTAATATGCTGTTATACACAGAGTCACGAAGCTGGGGTTATGCCGACTGGCAGTGGAGATCTGCGAAATCGTAAAGGGAAGAAGGTAGTTATATTAATATCCATAGGCATCCCAAAAAGAATAAGCTTGTGCCATCAATGTTTATCATCCTATATAAATAATAATAATAATGATGATGATGATGATGATGATGATGATGATGATAATAGTAATAATACACATAGGTGGCGTATGAACCAAATCCCAAAAGAAGGACTCGCATTGACAGGGACTTCCAGAAGCGCATGAGTCGTTTGGTAATTATGATTACATTTCCAATATTGCATTGTAGCCCATGTCCTGTAGAATATATATATATATATATATATATATATATATATACATATACATATACATATATATACATACATATATATATATATATATATATAATATATATATATATAAATAAATATATATATATATATATATATATATTTATATATATATATATATATATATATATATATATATTTAAATTATCAATATTTTATATTTTTTTTTTGGGGTAAAGGTTAAAGAATGGCATACTAGAACAAAGATACCAGTTCTACTTTTAACTTTCAAAAAAAATGCGGTGTGGTATGATTGTACGTTCAAACTTGTACAATGTAAATTTTTTTATAAATTTTTGCCTTCATTGTTGACCTAATTGTTATCCTTCACCCAGGTATAAGCACTATATTGCATATACTGGTTTATTTGAAATGGATAATATACTTGTAAATCAGATAATAGAATCCTGTTTTAGCGCCTAGGTGTAATTATGTGGTATAGGTACAAATAACATGTTTAGCCATGGAATAATTTATTAAACACATTTTCCTCTAGTTATATGTTTCTTACATATATACAATAACTCATGTTGTAGGTTCAAAAGGCCTTGACAGATTTGCCAAAAGTCCAATTGTCCAGCAAGAATTTGTCAGACACTGCATTAATACAGTGAACAAAAACCAAGGTAATTAATACTGTACAGTATAATAAGGATACATTTTCAGTACCTTGATCACTAAAAGATTTAATATAAATATATAATTTGCATGAAAATTGCTAAAATTACTTGATGCTAATTGGTTGAGAGGAGTGCAGTTAATTCACTGTGCCATGCCATTTAATTAGCCATTTTCCTGACATGTTCCACATTATATTATAGCAATATGGTGTACCAAAACACATACAGACATAAACTAGGGACAAAATTATGCTTTCATGCAGACACACAAATATTAATACATGAATATGTTATAATAACAATAATAATAATAATAATAACAATAATAAGGATTTATATAAATGGACCTTGCAACTGTGCCCATTACTTCCCTGTATAGGTGAATTAATCGTATTTACATTTTCCATAAATTATCTTTCCTCTTTTTACATTTTCCATAAATTTGTCTCTCTTAGGATAGTATTAATTTGTATATATTAATTTGTTGTAAAAACTTTCCGTATAAAATTAATGAAATCTGTATGGCTATGTAAATTCATTTCGTGTAAGCCTGTCTTGTTTATCTTCACCTTACTGATTTAGAAAAAGCAGAAAAGCCACAGAAAAAAGATGTCGATTTCCCTGTTGGAGAAGAAACCAACTATGAGGAGTTCACTGTGCCTGCATTAAGGAAAATGGTGTCATTAGCCATTAAGTTGGATGGTGTGTCATATATTTATCCAGGTTTAATAATTCAACCTATTGGTATTCAAGTTATGTTGTCTTAATTTTATTAAGGACGGAAAACATCTAAGTGGAATGATCCAACCATGAAGCCATCATGGTGGCCAGAAGATGTTGCATACAGGAATGTGAACTGGGGAAAAGACAAGCCGCATTTTGATGAGTTAGTCAAAATAATGGAAGCATTTAATGATGATTATTGTTGCATCAGTAGTAGTAGTAGGAATATTCATAGAGTTGAAAGTGGTTCAGAGAGTGGTCAAAGTGATGGTGGTGGTAGTGATGATGATAATAGAGGAGGTGATGCTGGTGATGATAATAATTATGGTGATGATAGAAGAGGTAGTGATAATGGTGATGATAATTATGATGGTGATGATAGAAGAGGTAGTGATGATGGTGATGATAATTATGATGGTGATGATAGAAGAGGTAGTGATGATGATGGTGATGATAATTATGATGGTGATGATAGAAGAGGTAGTGATGATGGTGATGGTTGTGCTGACTTTAATAATGGTAGTCGAGGATTTGGTGGTGGTGGTCCACTTGGCAACCAAGAGTGTGTGGAAGGAGGAGGTCCATCAGAAATTGCTGGTGCAAAGGAAGATGTTGACGTGATGGAAATTGGAATCCATAGTCCTCTTAGCTCAATACAAAGAAAAGAATTACAGATAAAAGCTATGGTTAGTGCCAAGAATGCAAACATGATATTGACAAACATTGGCTTGTGGATATGGTATTTGTCACCTTGTTACTAACAAACTTTTTTTTAAGCATGCTTCTACAAGTAAAGATCCCTCTAGCACATTGGGGCTACTAAACTGCCTGAAGACTCAATCGACTTGGGAAGGATTTTTGGATATATGTAACATAATCTGCCCACATCTGCGCCCCCTGGCAATTTGTCATATTGGATTTATCACAAAAGACGTTGTCCATAAATGGTTAGTAATTTATTTTTCATAACATTTTGTTAAAGTACGTATATTTTTTTCGACTTGCATTGACAATGTGTAAATCACTTCTTTGCCACTACTAAAGCGGGAGTCTGGGGTACGCGTACTGCATCCCGCGATACGCTCAGTTCTTATTAGACACCGCAGTATATGTAGCTATGTTATAAAATGTAATGATTTTATTGTAATTCAATTACTTTGGTTTTCTTCAGTACGGAATGGCATTAAAAACATTTAAGGTCAACTAGTTATACCTTAAATATTTATCTTTTGTAGTTTACGAAACCAAGTTCCGCAAGAATTACTCGATCAGCACTTGGAGCCGGGAAAAGTGAAGAGTGATGGCAATTGCCTCTTTCATGCTGTTGCAATGGCAATAACTCTGGGAGATTCTCTTAACCAGTCCTCAACCTGGCTAATCTACTTCGCTTATATGCGACTGTGAACGGTGCCACAAAAATGAATGGATTCGTAGAAAGGGTATTGCAATAATATATACATTATAACATGTCATGAGTAACATTTTTACCATTTATTTTTTTTACCACTGGCTGAACCTACCATTATTTAGCAAAGCATTTGAACATATAAAATGTAAACACTGGAGTGCTGATGTAAACATTGTGGCAATGTGCATAATTTACAGTTTCATCCAGCTAAAGCTAGAAACCTCTCTATGTACGTGAATGCTCTTCAGGCAGTGGCATTGTTTCTTGCAGATGTGTAAGAAATTTTGCCAGCCTGGCCAGCTTCAAAATCTTGCTCACACTGTCACAACGGAGGACACTTTGCGAAAGGTTTCCATTCAGGAATTGTCTGATGAACGTACCTTCTTTAAAGTTGTATATATGGAGGAGGTAAAGGCCACTGCAATTGATGGAAATTATTCCGGTAAGCGTAATTTTGGAGTTCTTAAAATATTCGTGGGCAAGTCTTAACGTTTATATTGTTCCAGGAATATTACAAGTAGCTTGGCTTGCAGATTCACTTGAGACGCGGATTTGCATGCATTGTCGCATCCCCGGTCATGATATATACGACCACAATGTAGGAGCTCGTCTTTGGGACCGAGAAATCCATATTCTTTGGGTCGATTTGAGTGGAACGCAAGGGAATAGTGTGCCTGATACAGCTAACCACCTCGTGCCACTCATCAAAACACGAGACGACGGTAGGCTAAACATATGCGGCGTTCATCTGTATAAATATTGGACGTGTCAAATACGCGTTATTTAACTTCCATGGTCACGCATACATTCGACGAAGCGATATACATAAATGAACGTACATATACATGCGGTCATTTTATATTTTATAGAATTCAACTGTGAAAACACGTGCAATGCTTATAGATTCTGTCAACTTCAACGTGGCGGTGATGAGAATTTAATAAAGTGTTCGTACTGTTTGCAGTGTTTTCATCCTGAGTGTGTCTTAGGTTCTGTGGATCAGCAATGTCAGCGCGAGTGGAAGTCATGTGGATGCAATGTGGATTCCTAGCAGTTAGGTTTGTGATATAAAATAATTTGTAGCTAACCGTGTACTGCATGCATGTGCATTCGATGTATTACCAATATAAGGCTATTACAATTTTGTGGCACTTCACTCGATGCAGAAATTCTGTATAAAGGTTCAAAAGGTTCTTAATTTCAAGTGGAATCAAAAGTCAAATTCAAGCCAGAAGCAGTTGAGAAAAACTATCGGTCCTCCGGCAGAAATCATACCTATATGTTTCACATTCATTTTTGAGGTGGGCAGTAAACATTTTTTCTCTTGCATGGTTAAATTTTGTTGTAGTCGACACATGTTTCAAGCCAACTTTCTGCAGTCGTGGTTGAAACAGCCTAAAGTTCAGATAATACTTGTAAGTATTCAACAGATAGTTTTTGGGAAACATATATAATATATATATATATTATATAATATATAATATATATATATATATATATATAATATATATATATATATATATTTATACACCCGTTTGCAAAAACGTTGGCCGCAGATAGATATATAGATAGATACCCGAAATCTAATTAGAATTGCATATGTTGTGTAATATTGAAATCCCATGCAAATGGAATCATATGCAATTCTAATTAGACTTCGAGTATCTATCTATCTATCTATCTATCTGCGGCCAACGTTTTTGCAAATGGGTGTATATATATATATATATTATAATATATATATAATATATATATTATATAATATATATAATATATATATATATATATATGTATATGGATCAACGCGCTATATTTAGGGTGTTGTGAAACAAATCCTTCTTGGGCAGTACGCCTCGCAAAGATATTTGATGTTTCAACAGGAACGAAACTCCCAATCGATCAAAGAGGACAGTTTTTATCGTGGTTCGTTTGAAGAGGAAGGCGTGAGTATTTAGTAACTTTAAGCTATAGGCATCAGAGTTATCTTAACATTCAACATGCTTGTTACTGCACACCGTATTTTTTATAATTAACACAGGTGGAGCAGTTGTCAATGCATTTATTAAAATATGTGCGGAAGGACACGGAACTCTCTTTGATGTATAAGAATGAGTCGTACATTTTTGAACGATTGGTGTATGATGTGTTGATACCTGAGGTATAGATTATACTCCATTTTTTTCTCAATTAGCTGTGATTGCAGTATGTTAAGGACAGAGGGGCCAGCCATACAAATGATGATGATAATTTAACATAAACCCAGAACCAGTCCGGTCCTATAATGTTATCGCATATGTCAAGCTCTATTTCCATATTTGTAATCATATTTATCAACATTTACTTTTAAGGCTTTAATCCTTATTATTCAAAACCATTTAAAAGTGAGTCGCTTTGTGGCCGAGTGGTTCTTTGAAAATTCTATTTCGTTGTGCCCGCTTTCGAATGTCTAGGTAGGTGTATATATAGCTATACATAAAACTATATATATATTTGTAGCTTTTTTCACAAAAAATAAATGTGATTATCTTGTATTTTTCAGGTTTTTTCGCATATTATATACAGCTTATGGATTATGAATATTGGTTTCAATCGTTTTCCCTCAAAAGTATTGTTAAAATGCTGTAGCCAATACATAAATATATATATATAATAATATATAATTATATATATATATATATATATACACACATATATACATATATACATTATACATATATACATATATAGATATTATACAGTATATAATTATTATTTGTAATTGTACTGTATCCAGATTAGATATAAAAATAATTAATATATATTGTATATACAGTAACTATATCATTAATTTGTAAACATGCTTTTGTTACTGTTATATCATACTATGTAAACAATGGCCTCATGTACCAGTAATTGATTGCTACTATTAATGAAATTAAATAATACCACCTTCCTTTATCAGAGTAGAACGGTTTACCATGTGAATTGGTATGCTGGTTCGATTCCAGCGATGCTCTGGAAGGTATGAAATGCTCCAATCCTCGCACGCAGTGTTAAAAGTTAATGGCAAAGATTTCTTCATGTTTTGAAGGAACAGCTAAAACAATCTACCATGCATACTGTTATCGCTTTTGTGCTTAGTCATTTGTGCTTAGTCATTTGAATATTTTTGGGTCGTTATTTTTCTTTATGCTATTAAAGTTATTTTCAAATTCCCAGGAGCAGACAATATTGTGTACAAACGTCAATTCTTTTTCTAAAGGTCTCCTTTTCTAATGTATGCATGCACAATATCAATATTTCACGCACTACGACTATGACCATGACCTTCGACATGTCCCCTTTCTCTAGCAACACAAAGCATTTAGCATTTTATAAATTGCATTAAACCCCCACGGGCTGAAATTCGTGAACACGGCATTCAAATTTTAACAATGAGTGATTTCAATAGTTTTCGGTTTTTTGGGGACACCCTGTATATTATATGGTCTATATAGATTTTGATATCCTTTGATAATTAACGACCAATCTTGCATTGATTGCATGGGTTTTGTTATTTTCAATTCAACCATGATAAAATGGTTCTTAAACAACCATGCATGGTCGAGCAACTTCTTTAGATAAATAAATATGAAACGTTTCTTATATATATCAATGATGCAATATTACACAGTCTATATTATATAGTCTATATAGATTTTGATATCCTTTGATAATTAACGACCAATCTTACATTGATTGCATGGGTTTTGTCATTGTACAATTCAACCATAATAAAACGGTTCTTAAACAACCATGCATGGTCGAGCAACGTCTTTAGTTAAATAAGTATGAATTGGTTTCTTATATATATCTATGATGCAATAATACACAGCCTATATTATATAGTCTATAATAGTCTATACAGATCTTGATAGCTTTTGATAATTAACGACCAATCTTACATTGATTGCATGGGCTTTGTTATTGTACAATTCAACCATGATAAAATGGTTATGGTCGAGTAACTTCTTTCGATAAATAAATATGAAATAGTTTCTTTTATATATCAATGATGCAGCCTATATTATATAGTCTATACAGATCGTGATATCTTCTAATAATTAACGACCAATCTTACATTGATTGCATGGGTTTTGTTATTTTCAATTCAACCATGATAAAATGGTTCTTAAAAAACCATGCATGGTCGAGCAACTTCTTTAGATAAATAAATATGAAACGTTTCTTATATATATCAATGATGCAATATTACACAGTCTATATTATATAGTCTATATAGATTTTGATATCCTTTGATAATTAACGACCAATCTTACATTGATTGCATGGGTTTTGTCATTGTACAATTCAACCATGATAAAATGGTTCTGAAACAACCATGCATGGTCGAGCAGATGCAATAATGTTCCAATGAATGCTACCAAACAACGTTATACGTCCGTAGGATATACCGGGTATATATAAATAGATGGCGTGCATTAAAACTGTTCGGTTTTTTATTTTAATAAATTATATCTAATGTGTTAAATTAAATAAAGATAAATTTATTATATAGGGTTTCATGCAGTTCATAATATAGCTAGCGTTCCGCTGCAATAGAGTCCCACTGGAATCGAACCAGCGTACTTTAGAGCAAACCATTGAACTCTGCATGTTACAACTGGATAAGTAGATCTATTTTAATTTTACTATACATTTGTTAGCAGACTGCATATAATCAGAAAGTCCCTCTGTCCCTGTGCCTTTGCATATTTCTTACATTGAGATTACATTGAGAATATTTGTGCAACTTCCCTTCCCACCATATATACTGAGAATATTTGTGCAACTTCCCTTCCCATCATATATACATGTCATCTATAAATTAATATGGTTTCATTCATTTATGAATTTGTTGAATACAACACCTTACATATAAACATAATTTATACTGAAAAGCTTATATATATATATATATATATATATATATATATATAATTATAATTATATTATAATATTATATTATATATGAAAGCTCTATCTTAAAATGATATAATTAGCAATTTCCCGGGAAACAATGCATAACAAATTAACTTAACATAAAACTTCTCTCTATCCTTAGTATTATGCATTTGTTGCGGCTATGTGTCAATTACACACTTGAAAAATTCCAATCCAATAAAATGGTGATTTCATGATGAAAAAATCTTAATTTTTTGTATCAAGCCCGTTTAGCTTAAACGGCGGATAAGTCAAAATTAAATAACACTCTAACATCTCTCTTGAACGGGTCAACTTGAATATTATGCACTGAATATGTAGTTGAAAACAGTATCTTTGTATTAAGGTTAAAAACATTCAGTTTGCTTGTTGAATAAACGATAGACTTGGTTTCCATTTTGAACTTATCCACCGTTTAAGCTAAAGGGGTTGATACAACCGGCCCATGCTTTGGTAAATAAACCAGCCTGACCGTTCTAATCTAACGTCTATAAACTACTTATTAGGGAAACTTTAGAATGCCATCCACACAAGGCCGCCATAAATTGAAATTCACGTGCACTTTTAATGTACTTGTGATTGGGAGTTCTGTAGTTTCTCTACCAATCTTTTATTGTGAAAATGCAAAAAGAACTTGGTATGGTGCATAAAATTCTTGTCGTTCATGTATGACAAGGACGCCTGAATTCGCTTCAGGGAAGAATTCCGTTGTTCCGCCCCTTGGCTATTCAAGAAAGGGAAGTCCAAATCTGGATAAGATGCAAGATCGTAAGCTGGAGAGCAACCTACAAAACACAGCAAGTCAGATATATATATATATATATATATATATATATATATATATATAATATATATATATATATATTATTTATATATATATATATATATATATTTATATATATATATATATATATATATATATATATATAACCTATACATAAAAAAACAAAATAAAACCTGTGTGGTCTCGCCAATGCAATCTGTCAACAAGAAATCTTGTTCTTTCAAAGAAACTTGGGTCCCGATTAAGGCAATACGTGTGAAGATTACAAGCGTTGTCGTAAACAACAATTGCTGGTGCTAATATCAATGAAATAAATGACAATATCAATATACTGGCTATATTGTTTACTGTACTAGCAGAATGCGTGCGGTATTATTCCTAGCCCTACACGCAAGTGGCCCCACCAAGATTAGACAAAATACTAAACATAAAACAATCAACATACCTTGGAGAAATCGGGATCGAAAGACGGTAAAAGGTATATTTGGGGACTCACATGACGTCATAATAGAGAACCCATATGTTATGCCTGCAAAACAAATACGAAGCGGTAAAGGAAATCCTTGTATAGACAGAAATCAAAAACTTTTTTGGTAAATGCAATGTTCATAAAGTAAGCGTTTACTCACTTTTACGGGGATAAACATTAATTCGTCCACATTTCCTGTGATACTATTGTGAACTAGCATAGGACATGCACAATCTGAGAAACAATCGTCTTACATGCACATTTTATCACAATTACTGTCCATAATTTAATTATCTCTGTACACCTTACCATGCCGGCACTGAATAAGAAAAATACCAGGAAGGAGGGTTGGGTGTCGCCCGTGACGTTTGGTGCATATGCGGCTGCTTTCGTCATTCTTTTCGTGGTCAAGCATGTAGTTTCCACGACCTCGAATTATTGGATGATGCGGGAAAAATGATAACTGGGAGTAATGGTTGTCCCGAGGTGTTACGTTATCATGGACGAAAGGTTGATCTTGAAACGGTTGAACAGCCATTTTGAGGAGTTTAGTGATAATGGGGATTACATCTTCAGGCAAACTATCACCATTCACAGCGCAAAGAAGTTTAAAGAGCAAAGGACAATTGTTGTGCAGAATCTGTAACTCATTTGGGTATCTTTTGATTTGAAATCCTTCGGTTAACCTTTCGCACAAATGAAGTAATTCGTTATTGCTGTGGAAAATAGCGCAAACTGGTGAATTCTTAGAAATCGCGGCAATGAATTCACGAATTCCGAGTGGCCATTCTCCCCCATACGTCGCTGCACACCAAACTAATAATGTTTTCAGCTCATCGTATCTTTCTCCAAGAGACTCGATTAATGTATATGCTAGTTCAAGTGCTTCTAGGCTAGGATTTCTCGCAACACTTTTTATAGCTTCTCGAAGATTCTTGTCCAGCACGTAAACTCGCTCACGGTGGCTAGTATAAGAGGTAAAAAGGAAATTATGTGACTTATAGACCATGTGCATAATGACGTCAAATACTTTTGCAATGACCACAAAAACCGGTGAGAATTAACAAAAAAAACAACGTAAGTCTCACAAGAAATGCTAGTCTTTGTGGTCACACAGAAGCGCTTGACGTCATTATGCATAAGGTCTATTGAAAAAAAGTTGATCTATTTTATTAGTCGCCAACTTAGTAAAACTAGTTCTGTATAAGCCAATATACTTATCTTCCAGTTCTTCTATCAATAGAATTACTATAGTCTTGAGCGAGACCCGTGATAAATGCCTGTCTGAAGGCAAGCGAGGTTCCATCACAAACAATGACATCCAGAGAATCGGTCCCACATATTGGACAACAAAAACCCTCGTTATAGTCGATATCTAACAGTTGCAGAAACGAGTACCAACTTGCTTGCCATTGCTTCAGAGAAATGATCTCTCGCAAATCAGCCTTTCCGCCATCATTCATCACTTCAGACCAAACGTTATAGTAGGTATACATTGTACATCTACAATAAAAGATACAGAAAGGCATACACAAGTAATTAATATGTTATATTCGATATCATTGAAACATAACTTCGCATCTACTGATTCGACTCAACCTTCGTTAATAACGACAAAAATGAAAACAATGGTAATATATGTTGATAAATGATATACATTTTAAAAAGCAAGTAACCATTAAAACATACCTCCCCATCAAAAAGTGAAACATGAAGTCGCGTAAAACGTCATACGAAATGACAAATTTACCCATGTTCAAAAGGGCAACATCACTGCCATCGTATTCAAGACGTTGGCCACACAAAGTGTTGGAACAGGGACGGTAATACACTGAAAAGCATAAAATATATACAAAGATGTAAACTTCCATGCATAAAGCATTTTGGCCTTATGTAAGTCGCACAATTCAATCTCAATCAGCTCAATAAGGAATGATTATATCTCCATTTCTACCAATATGTCAGTTTTGTTTTTTTAGGAACATACGGTGCTATGAAGTTGAATGACTGAATGTACTAGAGTACTTACTGTGATTAATTATGTACTCACCAAAGCATTTCAGAATGAACCTTCTTAAAATAAGGTTGCAGGTTTCAGATAACCACTCATAGGCAATTGGTGAGTCTGCTCGCCACGCCGAACCGCACGATGGACAGGCAGTAAATTTACTATCGACGTCCGGTAAAGTAGGGGTTAAACGTGCTCCTCCATCATCCATAAGGATTTGGCATTCTGACGTTTCAAACATTACCTGTTTAAGCTGCTTCGGTAAAACAAATGGTATAGCCATATATGATTTGGAACGCAAATACCACGAAGCCTTTGCACGTACACCCACATGATCATCCCTGCACTCATTGAACAATTCAACAAAATCAGGCATTTCGTCATCATCTTCCAAGAGCTTGCTCACTTCCTTCACATGTTCACATGAAGCAGATAAAATACCAGAACACAAACAACATTGTAACTCACTTCGCTCCCAACATACAACTCCAAAACTGCTCTCCAGAACGACACATAAGAGGGAAGGGGATCCTGATACTGAATGAACAGTCAATGGCAGCTAAATTGAAAGATACAATTTCCACAACACACAAAATTAAGAGTACATGTTCTGCATGTATCTATGCATATGGTATACATATTAAAATTGAATTATGAAAAAAACATAGCTCATAGAACAGAAATCATGTTCTTTATACCTGATCAGTGCTGCGTTGAACAACTTCACTAATGGCAAACTGAGTAGCATCAATGTCATTTTGGTTGTCAAAACCACACAATATTTTCTTCAAAGACTTCACATGAAAACATGATTCATATTGCTCAACAAAATCTAAAATACAATGATTAGGGATAGTCTTTTACTGTTATATTGATATTTTATTAATTCAATATTTTGTTTAGTTTGTAAAATTCTGGTGGTATGCATTCTTTCTGATCATATTAATTACTTCAACATAGGATATGGTCCCATAATAATAGCGAATTATTAGAAAAAGAAATATTAACAAGGACTCAGGCATGTAAAGTAAACTTACCAGGATAATTCATTTCAACAAGAAAGGCCACTCCAGATGTCAAGAACTCTGTGATCCTTTTATTACAAGAGCATGCATAGCACCATTTTGTTCCACATGAAAATTTGTGTGGTCTCCTTGTTACTAAAACAAACTTTTTACTCTATAGTAAAAAGTAAAATAACACAAAAAAGCATATGTACAATATTATAGTTATATGTACCAGTATGTTTTATCAATTTTGTCTGTAGTAGTAAAAATAAACATGTCACACTTGATGGTACATTACCAGAAATGTCTTTTCCTTCAAAGAATAATCACGCAGAAGAAAACAAACAATGCTCAATGTTGTGATGGCATTTTGCCCAATTAGTTCCATGCAATAAGAATCGATGTCGCCAACAGCTGATGATCCAACCACAATGCCTGATGATTCATGATCAGAGCCAACGTCATCGGTTTCCTTATAATTAGTATATATGTATAATTGGGTCATGTATATAAAGATTTATGGATGTATAATCATAAAATAATTCCAATATTCAGACTATTTACTGAAGTTTGGAATTATTTTTCATTGTGAATGAAATTCTTTGGCCAATGTAGTCAAATTTGGACTAAATCCTAGGGTTTGTTGAAAAGGAAAAGAATTCATGGCCAGTGTTTTTTTCTTCGTTTTTTTTTTGCTATTAATGCCAGATATTTTTTAGAGAATGATCAAATATTATAGAATCAAATTCATAAATCATACATACAAAGGATGCAAATATAGCCTTGAATGTGCACCTTAAGTCTATTTCTGCATAATTTATGGAAATGGAGTTCCATTGCTCTGACTTTGTTTGCATCTGAAATTACTGCAGACATGTTCTCACAGGGAATAGCATTAAAGGGAATTACAACAAAAACATACTCCCTCCAGGCATTCAAATGACCTGTAATAGCTTAAGTAAGAGGGGTAAATACAATCATCAAACAACTGAACAAGACAAAGTCCGTTTCAATACATTTTGAACATATAATGGCTTGTTGTCAAAAGGGAATCTCAGAATCTTGCATGGCAGCATACCCACCAATGTTAAGATGATAAACAATAACTTTAGAGCATATATTAGGATCATGCATGGGCTTCCTTATCCTGTGCATATGCAAATTTAATCAAATGAAGACATAAAACAAACCAGAAAAACCCACCATCACCACCATGTTGTTCTATAAGACAAATATGTCTACAGATCTTCTTATATACTTAAAGTCTTTACTTTATTAAAATATTATTATCTATATTAAATCTTTCCAGTTTCCACTTTGCCCATTACCAAACGACCAAAATGAACAACCTTGCATAATTTAGTGACGGAAAAGTATCTTAAAATTATATATTTATTATTACTAAAAATATAGTGCCGTAAGTTTATATCCAACATAATTTATACGAGATAAACTTTTTATATTTAAATATATCAACCATACTTGCATGTTGTCAACCAGGTTTGTTGATGGTGACGAATTATCCCATCTTCCTTCTTCGCGAATATCTGGCAATATGTCCTCTTGGGCTCTTTGCTGCGGTAATTTCCCTTTATATTTCCTTTTCCTCTTAGCGAAAGTATGGTGTTTCGGCTCTCCCTCCTTCTGCCACTGTATTTTTTCCGCCATCTTTGTTTTCAAAAGTGAGATAGGGGATAATAGGGGATAGAAACTACAATGGACATGCGCAATCCATGGTTGTTTTCCGTGGTTGAAAACGGCATTTTAGCCACGGATATACCTCGTTATAAACGACGCACGCAGATAATTTCGATTTTATCAAGTATTTTATCAAACCAACTTGAAATTCTATTATCTCAAAGCTAAAACATTTACCTATTTAAAGATGATGTAAGTCCGTTCTGCGCATATATTCTGCGCAGCAACACATTCCATCAGTGGGGAAGCAACTTTTGGAATGTTAATGATATGCGACATTAGCGCGTTGTATTACAGACAGTTCGGGATCACAATTATTTCATTTCATGTCGCAAGGCTGGTGCTTGCATGTCCTTGCCTTGGGGAATAAAATCATTTGTGCTGCTTTGATGGTCTAGTTATAGTGAAGTATTAATTGCCCTTAAACTGTGAAAGTCTATAACTGCATGCAACGTAATGCAGCAGGTAAACGGATGACTTCCCTGGATGACGTGTGAATGTGTATTCAGGTAATTGCACCACAGAGGACTACATGTCTACATTAAACTGTGATTGCATGCACTGATGAAGGCCCGGGTTAACGGACCGAAAGCTTTACAGTAATATATACTTACGTGGTGTACCTACAAGCTTAATTACTTATCGAAACGTACAAGAATATTATTATTTATATATAGCTACAACACCGTCACCTGGTCCCCTTTCCCATGGTAATTACAACTGACATACCGCGATCCGAATTCGAGAAACCATGCCGTCTCCCTCTTGGCTTTTACGAAAATATTTTTGATTTTTGGAATATAGTTTTTCGTATTTATGCTAAAAAAGATAAAATTCTTTCTCTTTTTCCCTGTTCAAAAAGTATATGGAGTAGCGGCTTCTTGCTTTGCATATGACGTTGAGATTGGCTTAATTCACTTATCGGGAAAGCCATTTTCGCCTCAGCCTCAGGTGAGCCGGTTTTCAAAATAGTTTCGTTTTTTGCCTTTGGACTATAGTATAAAGAATTGGAAAAGCGTCTGGGAAAAAGTTATATGCTTTAGCCTTTTTGATCTTTGGTACATGACTTAATTACGATAGGAAAACTTTATTATTTTATTTATGTCAAGCGAAAGTTAATCAATAGCTAATCTTTTGAGTTTTGAAGTACTGATACAAAATATCTCACTGTAAGATTTCAACCTCTGGTAGTGGCTGTTATTATAATCAGCCTGTTAAAGGGCTAATAATATGTTATCTTCTTTGCCTTGTCTAATCCAAAGTCAATTTATCATAGTTTAATCATTATACATTTAACTTGCTGTTGATGTTTATTAGTATTATTGTTGTTCTTTCTGGGTGTACAATATTGAGTACAGTTAATCCTGATAAGATCTCCATTCTACCTCATCACCCGCTGCGCTTAGTGATCACGTGAGAAGCATAGCGACCTCGCGACATTAATCAGTGTATAACGATCCTTTTTGCGACTAACACGTCTTTATCGCAGCTCTCGAAATTTGTGATTTTTTCATTCAAGTTGTAGAAAAAATGAGTTCAGAAACTCCTGAGATTACTGTGTCTCAAGATTCAGATAATTCTCAGCGTTCCAGTGTTATCACGGACGCTGAGACAAATAATGTTCTTTTGTCCACAATGCAAGCATTGCTAAAGGGCATGACTGAAATGTCGCAGGCATTCAAAAAGTCGCAGCAAGACGACGACGACTCGTGGCTTGACGACGAAGTGGATGATGGTGGTGAACCACAAGCTAAGAGACCATGTCTGGAAACCTCGGTTTCGCAATTACTTTCGTCCGCAGTTACGAACGACGGTCCCTCCACTTCTGCCGAAAGCGGGCAACCTATGACGGTCGAAAGCGCTCAAGCACAACCGAGCACATCATCGATCCTCGACAACATTGCACAGGAACTCCAAATGGAGGAACCATGTGCTCCACGGGTCCACGATCAACTCGCGACGATCGTCAATAATTTGGCGCGCGAGAGATTGCCTGACGATACAGTTGCAACGAAGTACAAACTGTACGATCGACCGGAAAATTGCGGTGCGCTGGTGCCGGTCAAAGTTAACCCCCCTATATGGGACAAACTGAAGTCCGAAACCAGGTCTAGTGACTTGAGGTTTCAAAAAATTCAAACGGCGTTAAACAAAAGTTTAATTGCCATGGTTCAGGTTACAGATTGCCTGACCAACTCACTCGCGGCCTCTGCGGAGAAAACGAATCTCCCTAATACAGAAGATCTGGTCCGAAAAATGATGGACGCCGTGGCTTTTGCGACATACGCCAACCACGAATTGAACAACAAGCGCCGCGAGTGTATCAAACCGGAGCTACACCAAGATTTTCGGCCCCTGTGCTCAACCTCGAATCCTGTCACTACGTGGCTTTTTGGGGATGACTTGTCGAAACAAGTCAAAGACATGACTGAGGTCAACAAAGTTGGTCAGCGCGTGGCCCAAAGTCGGTTTCAAGAGAAAACGTCGACTTTTAGCTACAAGTCAAAGGCTCCAAGAGGGGGTCGTCACGGCCAGAATAATTTTTTCGACCGGCGCCGCCACCATCAGCACAGGAAGAGAGGGAATTCCAAACCCTTGCTACCACGTCAGTAACCGTGAGTAATCCTTCATCATTACCTTTATCTCAGGTCTGCGCCGCAAAAATTGCTGGCAGGCTAAAATATTTTTTGCCCGAATGGGCCAAGCTCACCTCAGATAAAACGATTTTAGATTGTGCCGCGCATTATCATATTGATCTTATTGACAATGTATCTCCTATCCAACATACCGTTCCGAATCAGATTTCGTTCTCTGAGCCTGAACGGCGGGTAATTGACACTGAAGTGTCGAAATTGTTGGCGAAAGGGGTCATAGAACCCTGTGTGCCTGAATTGGGCGAATTCATTTCTACTGTCTTTTTGCGTCCTAAGAAAGACGGAACTTACCGCATGATCCTCAATTTAAAAAGGCTTAATAGCTTTGTTGAATACCACCATTTTAAGATGGACACATTAACAACGGCAATTAAAATGATGAGACCGGGCTGTTATATGGCATCTGTCGACTTGAAAGATGCCTATTATACTGTGCCATTGCTCCAGAGCACCAAAAATTTTTGAAATTCTTTTGGCGTGATGGAATGTATAAATTTACGTGCTTGCCAATGGGTTAGCTTGCGCGCCAAGAGTTTTTACCAAGTTGTTAAAACCTTTATTTGCAACCCTAAGGAAACTCGGCCATTTGTGCTTTGGTTATATCGATGATACGTATCTTCAGGGAGATACTATCACTGAATGCTCTAGTACGATTGAGGCTACGGTAGCATTATTCACAAAAGTTGGGTTCATTACACACCCAGACAAATCCGTCTTACAGCCAGTACAGAGGCTGGTATTTCTCGGGTTTATACTAGACTCATTGCTCATGCTTGTGCGTCTCACACCCAAAAAAGCAACTAAAGTCAAAGATATGTGTTTGAAACTAATTTCAACCACTTTTCCGTCCCTTCAGGAACTTGCTGAAGTTATTGGTCTAATAGTGTCCAGTTTTCCGGGCGTAATGTACGGCCCTTTATATTATCGCGCTCTTGAATCAGCTAAGAGCGCTGGGCTTCGAGCCGCCAAGGGAAACTATTCATTTAAAATTGCCCTGCCTCCTGAGGCAAAACAAGAATTACAATGGTGGGTTGTTAATGTAGAATCAGCCATCAATCCTATAAATCGTGACCCTCCACACAAGTGTGTTCAATCTGACGCCTCTCTTCTTGGCTGGGGCGCCGTATGTGAGGGTGTTACCACCGGGGGTCGCTGGTCTGAGGTGGAAAGTACGCTCCACATTAATGTGCTAGAACTGAAAGCAGCTTTATTTGCTTTGCAGTCCTTATGTAAAACTGATGCTAATATTCATATTCAAATGCAACTTGATAACACAACTGCTGTTGCTTATATTCAGTCAATGGGAGGCAGTAAATCTCCCCCATGCAATGAAATCGCTAAACAGATTTGGCTATGGGCAATTGACCGCAATATCTGGCTCAGCGCGACACATTTACCGGGCGCGCAAAATGTTATCGCCGACAGAAAGTCGCGTAATTTTAGCGATAACACTGAATGGATGCTTGATCCAATTGTATTCCAAACTATTACAACTTATTTTGGCATGCCTAGCATCGACTTATTTGCCTCGCGCCTTACAGCCCAGCTTACTCCGTACGCTTCCTGGCAGCCCGACCCTAATGCTAAGTTTATTGATGCACTTTCTATCAATTGGCATCAATTTGAATTACTCTATGCATTTCCACCGTTTAGCATGATAGCCAACTGTTTACAAAAACTGGATCTGAACGCGACCACGGGCATATTTGTTCTCCCTCTGTGGCCAACCCAACCTTGGTTTTCGCGTGCGCTGCAAATGCTAGTAGCCAAACCATTGCTCCTACCCCAACGCATCGACCTTCTCCGCCTTTCGAGCAGTCAAACTCGTCATCCTCTTGCCAAGAAAATGCGACTGATGGCTTTAAAGTTATCGAGCAATCTTTCCGAACAAGAGGCCTTTCGCCTGACGCTATCGCCATCATTCTCAACTCTTGGCGAGATGGGAGCAGGAAGCAGTACCGAGGCTATCTTAAACGATGGATTCAATTTTGTGGTGAAAGGAAGATTGATCCAGTTCGAGCGCCTTTAGCGCAGGCGTTAGATTTTTTGACGGCTTTGTACAACAAGAATGGCCTGGGTTATAGCGCATTGAACACTGCCAGATCAGCTTTGTCCTCGGTTCTAATTTCTACGGAATTTGATTCATTTGGCTCTCATCCATTAGTCATTCGTTTCATGCGCGGGGTGTATAACTCGAGACCAAGTTTACCTCGATATACTGAGATTTGGGATGTCCGTATCGTGTTGGACAAATTAAAAGAAATGTCGCCCAATTCATCCCTGTCATTAAAAGATCTAACTTATAAACTTGTCATGTTGATTGCTTTGGTGTCCGCTCAAAGAGGACAAACTATCCATTTACTGAATACTCACAACATGACGGAAAATGATTCCTCCTTCTCGTTCACAATACCGGAACTGACAAAAACAAGCAGACCAGGGGATCCCGCCAAGGTCATAAAGTTGATGGCATTTGCCCCAGATAGGTGTTTATGTGTTTATGACTGTTTGAAAGAGTATATACAACGCACAGGTACTTTGCGGTCCGATGATGGACAGCTCTTTATCAGCTATATTAAGCCGTACAAGAAAGTCAGTCGGGAAACAATACGACGTTGGCTCAAACACGTTATGCTATTGTCTGGCATAGATATAAACATTTTTAAACCTCATAGCACTCGAGCAGCATCAACGTCTGCTGCAACACAGGCGGAACAGCCAATTAGTGAGATTCTTAACGTAGCGGGCTGGAGGTCCGATTGTACTTTTGCCAAATTTTATAACAAGCCAATTAAGCCAACTTCAGGCTATGCCGATACTATTTTGTCAACTTGATGTAACAAATGTGATTTTCATTATCGTAACGTTCGCGTTATTTTTTCGAGAGCTTGTATTTTCATATACCGAGATTGCGTGTTTGCATGCTTTAAAGTCTCACGTGATCACTAAGCGCAGCGGGTGATGAGGTAGAATTGAAAAATTAAACGAGACTTACCTGTAAGTCGAAGTTTGATTGTGATTCTGCCGAATCACCCAGAGCGCTTAGGGATTACGTGCCCTCCTCTTAGGATATTTCTCCCACCCGATGGTTTGGTGGTTTGCAATACACGCAATCTCTTCGTTAAAGTCTGATTAATGTCGCGAGGTCGCTATGCTTCTCACGTAATCCCTAAGCGCTCTGGGTGATTCGGCAGAATCACAATCAAACTTCGACTTACAGGTAAGTCTCGTTTAATTTTTCAATTTTTCAGGATGAACATGCTATAGAATTTAGCAAGAGATGGCTTGTTATGCAAATTACTGGAACACTGTATTTTTAATTTGATTATATGAACTTTGTGGTTGGCTGACATTTTTTACAATGGTTTTTCGATGGGGAATAATAATAAATACATAAAAACATGCATTGAGTAGGGCATCTTCAATTTGCAACAAATTTTATCAATTCCTGATAATGCAGTTTATCACCCCCCACCATTAAAGGGCTATAATTATTGGGCTGATCAGGGATTTTTGGACTAATGGAGGGATAAGCCCAATTGCATTTTTGTTAATTCATAAGACTATCATATTTGTACTATCATATTTGTACTACTTCTGCTACCAGGTATAATTCCCATATCAAATGCAAAGATTCAATGACATTTCTTAGGTCACACAGGTTTAAACTATTTTAAGGTACATTTCAAGAAGCATATATAAACATTGCCTGAACATAGCTCATTGAGGCACAAGGTATGACATAAATAAATATATGCCATTATGTAAATATCACTTCTGGTTATAATTATTGTATCCCCCTACTTAGTACAATAGCTAATCTGCTGCCCAGTATTTAGCACGAGCTTTGGCCTTTGTTTCCTTGGATTATGCACAAACATGGACACAGGGCAACATATTAAACTGCATACTTCCTGCAATCCTTTTATATTTCAGGGTTTAAGAAAAGTCAGATTGGTATCCATAAAAGACACTAAAAAATTACAACAATACAAAAAAAACTCAAGCATTTGAAAAACTTTATACAGTAATGTATATTGAAAATTGAAAACATATAAATAAAATAAAATATAAAGCTGTCAGCTAAAATAGTGTAAATTTTTTGGCTTTCGTCTACATTTTTTGGTATGCGAATATTTGTTTGTTTCATCATTGGCGAAAACAGCAACTATGACGTATACATAACTGAAATAAACGCTTTATTACAGGTTACTGATGATAGGTAAAAAAATATATCAAAAAACAAAACAACAAGGCTTCAGGGCAGAATTAAGAAACAAATATTCATAAAAACCAGGGGGAAATGCTGTTTAGTGACAGGCTCAGAATTGAGCATCGTCAGTGGTAATTACCATGGGCAAAGTACCATCAAAATGACGTGAAAATGACGTCACAGCTGCCAAAATCCGCCATGTTTATTGCTTAATTCACTTTTTTAGGCCAAAACATTAGGAGCAAGTCCTCCAAGAATTATTATATAGCTCAGTGGGCTCTTCCCTTTTTCCCTTCCCTCCGCAGCAAGTAAAAACAACAAAAGAGCCCTGGGTACGAGGTTGCATGTTCAATGCATACAGGTTGTGAATACAGCAAATCTGGTTCATTTTAAAAATGTTGAAAAACTACCCATGGCCATCCAACCAACTTTAATAAAATGATGGTTTTTGTAAACTAGCATACCTAGGGCAAATCATGAAATATGCCTTAGGTTGATCTGAAACAGCTCTAGAGTAATTTACAAGTGATGAACAACAGTTTTACAATAGACTTTTTATACTTAATTAAGACTGAGATATTAATAACTTTTTAAGTAAATTTCATGCCTAGATTTTAGGATTGGAGCAATTGTCGGAACAAAATATATCTTAGTTAAACATTTAAGTGTCATAAATTATAATATGAACACTTAATAGCTCGAAAGATAAGAGCAAAATTAATATGGATTATATATGACTGCATTTGGTGGAAATTCAAAATTTAAATCGCTAGTAAATTTGAAAATAGTGTTTATTCTTGTTCTGTGAAAGTCCAATTCATGCATCAAGTA